CTTACAATTGAAAATATTAGTATGTTCGTATTATTTAAAATGATACACCTTATATAAAAGAAAAGCAGTGATTTTTAAGAATTCAGTTCAGGATTCAAATTAAAGAAGAAAAAGAAGAAGAAGAATAAGAAGAAGAAGAAACAAAAGAAAGAAAAGAAGTCATATCCTGTAGTTGAGTTTTTGGGGGTAAAATGGAAAGGAAGAATTTAGGTTTGTTTTTTTATTTTATTTTAAAAGAAATTTGGTTAAATTTGTAATAAAGTCAGACAACGTATAGAATTTGCTTGTAATTGTTCTCTTTTTCTTGAAAGGAATTTGTAAGTATACGTGTGCACCACTTTTACTCTCCAATCGGTTCGAGTCGATCGAAAGTTGACTACTTCTGTTCTTTTACTTTGAAGCGAATTCGAGCAAAGGTAACAAGAGGTATAATGAGTGAATTGTCGCGAAGGTCGGCGTTCACTTTTTCCTCCTGTATATTCTTCTTTCGAAACAACTCCTTGATTCCCTCTTACCTTTCTTTTTCCCAAAGTTTCAGTTTCGATCGAGACATATTAAGGTCGTATAAGATTCGGAATGTTATAACCTTGGATTTATTATATATATAATATATAGTACAAGATATATACTTATGGTAACAAAAAAATATATTATAATATAATTTATAACTATAAGTATTATAGTCTAAGTTAGAAAATATTTCATTTATTTTGTTGAGTATAAATTATTGTACATAATAATATAAGTATAGTATAACTATATTTGTATATTACTATATTATTATATTTTGATTTATTTTATATTATATTATTATATATATGTATTATGTATTATATGTATTACTATATTATTATATGACTATACTTATAATAGTATATATTATAATATTTATAATATATATTATAAGGTATTTATAAAAATATAAAGTGTGTTGGAATTATTATATATAGTAAATAGTATAAGATATATACTTATGTAATATATTACAATATAATTTATAACTATAAGTTTTATAATCTAAATTATGAAATATTTCATTTATTTTGTTGAGTATTAATTATTGTACAATAATATATTAGTATAATTATATTTATATTACTATATTAATATATTTATTTATTTTATATTATATTACTATATATATGTATTATGTATTATATGTATTACTATATTATTATATATTATATTATTATATGACTATGCTTTAGTATATATTATAAGGTATATTTAAAAATATATAGTTGGAATTATGATATATAGTATATAGTATAAGATATATACTTATGTAATATATTATAATATAATTTATAATTATAAGTTTTGTAATCTAAGTTATGAAATATTTTATTTAATTTGTTGAGTATAAGTTATTACCTAATAATATAAGTGTAGTATAATTATATTTGTATTACTATATTATTATATAACTATACTTATAATAGTATATAATATAATATTTATAATATATAATAAGGTATATACATAAGGTATATATACAAATATAAAGTTGAAATTATATATATGATATATAGTATATAGTATAAGATATATACTTATATAATATATTAGAATATAATTTATAACTATAAGTTATAGTCTAAGTTATAAGATATTTCATTTATTTTTCCTTTGTTTTTTATTGATAATTAATCTTATTCTTAATTGCAAAATTATTTTTTACACATTCTACAATAGTAACGAATAATTTCAAACGTGATTTAGATAAAACCTTCTGTTTCGATTAGTCAAGTAGTTTTTTTTTTTAATTTTATTTTTTGTCATCGTATAAGAAATAGAAACTCAAAGTCAGCATATTCGTCATATTTTAATTGTTTTTTTTTTTTCTTTTTTTTTTATCGTAAAGATAATAATGTTTGTGCAAAAGTTCGTATAATTATATACAATTTAAGGTAAAAAATTGTATAAAATAAATTTACAAATTGTTTAAATTAATTTTCTTTCAAATAGTTCAAATTTCGATTTGAACGATTCACACCACGTTTAAATTCATTCATTCATATGCTAATTGTTGAATAAATAATTAATTAAATGAATTCAGTTTATTTTTACGATGATGATAAGATGAATTGTACAATTATTGAATTGAAAAGAATAATTTGTTTATTATGTCATGATGTAAAAAATGTTAATTACTTTCCAAACAATTTAATTACTGTATTTAAAATGTTGTAACGCATATTTCCGTGTAATCTTTTTCTTTTCATTTGTTGTTTAGACTATTATAAAGGATATTTTTGAAAGTATAGTTTTTATCATTTAATGTTACAATATTATACACCGTTGTCAATGATATTATATATTTTATCTATCATGTAACTTGCGTAATAGACGATCATTGGCCAACTACTTATTCACAGTGGTATACGATACTACTGACCGATCCACATCTAGTCTGGTTTTATTTGTTTATTTTTCTTTACATTCCCTCTTACGCCTTTAAATATATATATAATATATAACTGAAAGTGTAAGTATATAACTATGTATGTATTTTACATAGTCACCTTTTTCTTTCCAAGTGAAGTGATAATTAGAAAAATGAAGAAGTTGAATGAACTATTGCAGRTGTTTGTCGAGTTTACATGATTTTAATGAGAAGTATTAACATTTTGTCAATTTAGTATTTTTCAATCAGATATTATGTTTATTTGTTATAAAAAAACAATGTACAATAATTGANGATTTTAATGAGAAGTATTAACATTTTGTCAATTTAGTATTTTTCAATCAGATATTATGTTTATTTGTTATAAAAAAACAATGTACAATAATTGATACTTCATGTTAAACAATATGTTGTAGATAATATTAATACAAACTCAACCTATATATATCTATATATATATGTTATAATATTTAACTGGATATTTAACATATGCATATATACTTTATATAGTATATATAGTATGTATATAGTGTAATATATACTACATTATACTATACTATATTATAATAAATAAATAAAAGTATATATTGCATTATATATATATACTGTATGTAGTGTATATAGTATATTATACTATACAGTATTATACTATAACTACACTATATGTATACTACACTATACATATAATGTAATATATACTATAATATAGTATATAATACAGTATATATTACAATACTATACTATAATAATTACTATAATATAGTATATATCACACTATTCATATAGTGTAATAAAAATATATACTATTAATATATATATATATATAGATAGATAGTGTACTTTTTATTAATTTCTTACAATGTTATAATATATTTGAAATTGATAAATTTTTAAATAAATTAATTTATCAATTAATTTTTTAATAACTTATTTAATTTTTAAATTTATTCTAGTATTATTTGTTAAATGTTTGGAATATTAAACATACATTGTTAGACTTTGGGGTTCTATAATTTTGATGGAAAAATAAATACAAAAATAAATTATTGAAATATTCGTTAGATTCTTATCAATATTCTCATAAAATTTATGTTAAATAGAAAATATCGATATTTATAATAACATAACAATAATAACAATTAAATTAAATGTGAAAGATATTAAACATCATATTTCAAATATTTATTTAAAAATATTTTCTTCATAAATGATTAATAATAACTAAAAATCAACTACCCAAATATAATGAATTAAATTGATCTACATTTGATATAATTTGAAATATCAAAATCAATAACACATGTGTATTGTTTCTTCTATGAGCTTTTTTTTTGAAGGTTCTTTAAAATTTGGTTTTCTTAACCTTCCGGTATCCTTGCATTTAAAAATGTTCGGTACCACCATTACTAACAAACCACCATATAACAGTGTTGAGAGAAAAAGATCAAAATTGATGTGAGAAAAAGAGTGAGACAGAGAGAGTGAGACAGAGAGAGAGAGAGAGAGAGTGAGAGAGAGAGAGAGAGAAAGATGTAGGTAAGAAAAAGAAACTGAGAGAAAGGATTGAGAAAAAGAAAGAGAGAGAGACAGAGAGAGACAGAGAGAGACAGAGAAAAAGAGAGAAACAGAGAGAGAGAGAGAGAGAGAGAGAGAGAGAGAGAGAGAGAGAGNAGAGAGAGAGAGAGAGAGAGAGAGAGAGAGAGAGAGAGAGAGAGTGAGAGAGAAAGAGAAGGAATGAGAAAGCCGTGCATCTACTCGGTCATTGGAGGGACGACGACTTTAGTCTTACGATCGCATCCAAAGCGGGAGGTCAGGCATGATTTTTCTTATGTGTTTCGACTAACGGTCGGGTTTATCCTACGTGTTTTGAATATCCGATGATCGATTAAAAAAAAATCAAATAAAAAGAAAAAAAATTACGAAACGAAACAAAACGAAAAAAAAAAAAAGAAAGAAAAGAAAAAAACAGTAAAAGAACGATAAATTCAAAAAAAAAAAAATAAATAAAAATAAAAATAAAAATAAAAATAATTGGCCAATAATCAAAATTATACCCGAATAATAATAATAATAATTTTAAATAAGACTCTTTGTGTTAGTAAAATTGTCATTGTATAACGACGAAAGAATAAACAAAAAAATACACATATATATATATATATATATATTATTTATATATAGGAAAATTTATTTAATAAAAAAAAAAAAAGAACAGATTTAAAAAAAAAAAAAATTGGATTTATATTCAAGTGGGGTGTTCGTGTTTGTTAAAAAATAATCTCCCAAAATGAATTAGGGATTGATATAGATGACAAATATTTCAAAAAGTGTGTTCGTAAGATTATCATAGAGAACAATAACAAGAAAAAAAAAAAATCGAAAAAAGATAAAAATAGAAAAAACAAAAAATAGAAAAAAAATAAAGAAAATAGAAAAATATAGGGGGGGAAAAATAAAAAAGAAATTCGTTTTGTTTATTTTTTCTTCTTCTTCTTCTTCTTCTTCTATTAAACGAGAGAAGTGAATTTTTTTACGTGTTGTTAAAACAAAAACAAAAAGATAATTATTAATAAAAAAACAATCTGTACAAGCGTCGAGAATTTTCGTCTTAACTTTTTTTTTTCTTTCTTTTTTTTTTTTTTTACTTCAAAACGAAAACGTCGTAACGAAGGTTGAGAAGTAGCAAAGGGGGGAGGGGATTTTTTAAAAGATTATTGAAAATTGTTGTTTAAAAAAATAAAATGTTGCAGTTGTGTATTTGACAGATTAAATTATTAAATTAAATCGTATTTGGTATTGAATTATATATAATTTTAAAAACGTTTCGTTGATTTGTCTAAGATCAGAAAAATAAAAAAAATAAAAAAATAAAAAAAATAATAAAAAGAAAAAAAAATAAGAAAAAAAGAAAATAGAACAAAAAAAAAAAGAAAGAAATTCATAATGAGAGCTCATATGTGCGGCGTGGATTGGTCGATCAACAACGTGTGCGAGTTGACGGGTCTCGATGGAGAATGATAGTTCAACGGATAACACGGATATCTGTTGAAGAGGATCCTTTCGCAACATCTACGATCGGAGGATACATCTCCAGAAGAGATTTCTGATTATCGGAATACGAGTTACGGGTAATTACGAATTTTATTTATTTTTTTTCTTAAGGGTGGACAGGGGTTCGATTTTTCCCCTTTTTTGATGTTTTTTTTTAAATTATTATTGTATTATTATTATCATATGCTTTTTTTAAATATTTATTAAGGGGATCGAAAAGTAATCAAAATTTCAATCAAAAATCAATTCTTTGCTGGCAAATAATATTTATTTATTTATTAAATTTGAAATGCTAATTAACAATAAATTTTTGCATCATTTTCTAAGACTGTTTTTGTTTTAAGTAAAGGAAATTGAGAAATTGTTTAATTCTTTTTTTTTTTTTTTTTTAAAGTTCTTTGATTATTTATTCATCGAAGAAATTTTGATTACTTTTCGATACTCCTAATGTATTTATATTTTTATTTATATTTATAATTTTATTTATATTTATATTTATATTTATATTTGTATTTGTATTTGTATTTATATTTGTATAAACAGGTAGCCCTGTTATAACACAGTTTTCCTATAATACGGTTTTCCTATAAAACAATTTCCCTATAACACTGTTTTCCTATAAAACAGTTTCCCTATAACACAGTTTTGATATAACATGATTCATAAATTACTGGAACCTTTTTACAGTGTGGCATTCCACACTGTAAAATTTCATTGTCATTAAAACAAATGAATTATATTCTACTTTACATTTATAAACAAAAAAATAATTTGAATTTAACTGTTCATTTATTACACACACACACACACACACACAATTATTATATTTTAATAATAAAAACTTTACGTTAACTTACCCCTATTCTTTTACCTGTATAAAAAATACATTTGTAAGTTTCATTACGTAAATATTCATTGAAAACAAAAAAAATTCCTAAGAATATAATAACGATAATATAAATGAAAATAAAATATCATCGAATATTTAAAAGAAAAAAAAATTAACTAAAGACCATCCGAAAGTATATGTGTGAAATCTTTATTATTAAATAATGCTTATACATAAATAGGGTTTTAATACGGTATAAGTATAAGTATAAGTATATTATATTCACGTCATTATCGATAGTGTGCAGTTATATCGGACAGCTGTGAAGTGAAACGGGCCTTTGGATTTCTCGCCGTTAGGTAACGACACGGGAATGCTTTCTTATATAGGGTGTTTATAAAATTGCCATTTGGTATTTTATTATAATAATAATAATAGTAATAATTTAATTTAATAATATCTATACGTTACTCTTCAAACATTTTTAAATTTATATATACACAAACGTAAACAATAGGTAAACACATAAACACACATATTGTGTATATAATTGTGTTCATAATTATTAGAACAGTGATCTGTTATTGTTAATGTAAACAAAATATTATGAACAATTTATTTTTTATAATTTATTTTTATAATATTTATGAATTTTAATATAAATTAAATCATATAGGGAATATGGTTCTTTAATAAGTTTTTATTTATTTATTTGCAATGGTAGTTCATTGCCATAATTACCGGAACATACACACATATAAATATATATATATATATGTAGTATTATATGTCTTGTAAAATAATATATGCAATGTTATCTTCTTATAAGGTCACTCGATATAACGGTAAATCATTACTGTTATTAAACGTGCATAAATGTATTGGATTGGTGGTGATAAGGTATTGTTCGTATTTAAATGCAAAAATAAAAACAATGTTTTTGTTCACATTTCGTATCGAATTAATTACAAATCATATTTTGTGATTTATGTTTAGTTCTTTATCGATATCATGATTATCAATGTGTCAATTTTGCTTCACTTTGTTCATCATTTTGTTCATAATTTTGTTCATCATTTTGTTCAACATTTTGTTCATAATTTTGTTCATTATTTTGTTCATTATTTTGTGCATCATTTTGTTCATTATTTTGTGCATTATTTTGTTCATTATTTTGTTCATAATTTTGTTCATCATTTTGTGCATAATTTTGTTCATAATTTTGTTCATAATTTTCTTCATAATTTTGTTCATAATTTTCTTCATAATTTTGTTCATCATTTTGTTCATCATTTTGTTCATAATTTTGTTCATTATTGTGTGCATCATTTTGTTCATTATTTTGTGCATTATTTTGTTCATAATTTTGTTCATAATTTTGTTCATAATTTTGTTCATCATTTTATCGAATTTTTTTCATTTATGGTCTATGGTGTATTTCTGATATTCAAATTTCAAGATTGTTCATTTTTGAAATCAACTTTTTATTACTCATATCGATACTTCATCATGTTCATAAACATTACAAACTTTCTTTTTATCAGTCTGAGTGAAATTCTTTTCATTTTTAATTATAATACTTTAAAATGCATAGAATTTCTTCTTTCCCCCTTCCCATTTTATTTTGTAAAATGGGAAAAATTTATTTTTTCTGAATTGTTTTATGACATGTCAAAGTTGAACACACATACGAGTTTTATCTGATTGGATTAAATGTGATCAAAGTTGCATACAATCCTAAAATTGTTGAATATAAAATGATCGGAATAAATACGAAAAAACTTTTTACCCGACCCAATATATAAATATGTATATTTGTGTGTGTGTTTTTATAGTATATAGTATATCGAAGTCACGATTTAGTAGTCATACTTTAAAGCTTCTTTAAAACGAATTTTTAGAAAGTTAGTTCTTTCATCAATATATATATATATATACAGGGTGATTCGTATCACTTTAAATGTTTCAAATAATTTTTCAATTACGCGTTTAATAAAAAAATGTCGTTACAAAAAAATTGTGTCTAATTTCAATTAGACTAAATGATTATGGTTTAGTATCAGTTTTTATTCTATGCGAAGAAAATGATCAAATTTCAAGGTTTCAAATTGTTTTTTAAATATTATCATAAATGTTATCAGGGAATATAATATTAAAGTGATTTAATTTAGAATAAAAATAGTATTAAACAATGTAAGATTTTAAATGTATAAAAATTGATGAAATATCTTACAATAATTTTATCTCGAGAGGATAATTACAGTTTTAAGTATACAAAATTAGGTTAGTTTTATGTTTTGAGAGAGGGGGTACTTTTTGATTACTTTATTTAATTAAAATACAAATATTGAAATGAAATAAACGTAAGAAAATGTATTGTAGATGAAATGATTGAATATATTTTCGAATAATTAATAAAGTATAGTTAAAATCACAATTTTAAGTATAATTACTTAGGTTAGTTTTATTTTTGGAGAAAGGGGGTAATTTTTGATTATTTTAATTTGATTAAAATACAAATATTGAAATGAAATAAACGTAAGAAAATGTATTGTAGATGAAATGATTGAATATATTTTCTAATAATTAATAAAGTATAGTTAAAATCACAGTTTTAAGTATAATAACGTAGGTTAGTTTTATTTTTTGAGAGAGGGGGTAATTTTTGATTATTTTAATTTGATTAAAATACAAATATTGAAATGAAATAAACGTAAGAAAATGTATTGTAGATAAAATGATTGAATACTTTCAAATAATTATTAAAGAATGGTTAAAATATATTATCATATCAGTGATTGGGAGAGTTCGTAACAAGAATATTGTAACTATAGATCTATATCTGTCGATGTCCTCGGCCTATTTATGTTTAAAACGCCCATTCGAATCCTAGTGTTACGTCCAGAGTGGCGTAACGTGTGTGTGATATGGTTTGATATAGGTGAAAGGGCTTTTAGCACTGTTGTCAACTTTTAAACGAAAGTTGAACACTCAGCTCGATTTCGCGATCTCGGTTTACCGTCAAACGCGAATATTTTTCCTTTTGTTTTATTTTGTTTTGTTCTTGTTTTTTTTTTTTTTTTTTTTTTTTTTTCATTACCGTTGTATAGTAGTTTATACATTAATATGCAATATGAAATTATTTGATTCATATTCTAACATTGTTTTGACTAATTTTTATTTATGTACTTATTAGGATTTTTTTTTTTGTTATTTTTGTTATTTAATAATAAAAATAAAAAGATATAGGAGTGATTGTATTAGTGTATTTTGTCAGTAAATATGTTTGTAGTATTTTATGTGTTAATGGATGTTATTGGGTATAGTAATTTTGTTGGTTTTTTGAGAGAGACTAGGTTAGGTTTTTTAAATTTCAATGATAAATAATTAGGTTTATATAAATTGGATTATTTTTTTTTTCATTGATAATTCTTGAGTATTTTGTGTTTAAATAAATAACATTATTTATATAATTTTTTTTATTGCTAGTATTATTACTGCTATTTTTATTACTAGTAATATAGTAATTGTTTGATTGGTGACTTTCAGTATACAATTTACAGTATTTTTTATTAGTACTATTACTACTATTATGGTAATTTTTTAATTGGTAATTTTCAGTATACAATTTACAGTACTTTTTATTAGTACTATTAATACTACTATAATAATTTTAAAGTATTAACTATTATTATATTTTACAAGTGTATTAATTTATTGACCAAAAGTTTTAAAAAAACATTTAAAATCCAAATAACAAAAAATTTAGATATATTTATAATATTATTTTTATTGCAAAATTTGTATTATCTAATTAATATTTAAATATAGCATATAAATATTTAGTACATTTACCTTATTGGCATAACTTATTAACCAAGCAAATATTATTTCTCTATCTCTAATGAAACGTTCATTAACAATAAAGACAAATAAAAATGAAGAAAGAAAATGAGTAAGAGAAATAGAACCTAAACGTATAGAAAAAAGAAAAAGAAAAAGAGTAAAGAGAAAGAGAAAGAGACAGAAAAAGAGAGAGAGAGAGAAAGAGAGAGAGAAAAGGATAGATAGATTGAAGGGAAAGGAACCGGATTGAACATTTTTTTCATAGCAAACATGTTCGTTCGTATACGTAATCGAATCAATTGGGAAAGCAAAAGGTGACGTCTGAATATTATTCGATAAGAATCTTCCTTTGTTATGTTTCATCCCTCTCTCTCTCGTTTACATTGATTTCCTCGTTCCTTA